TGGGAATTCGTTATGATTCTGAATTGAAAATTGAGAACAGGAATAAATCGCTTTTTATAAGTGTATATATGTAGTTATAGCGATAAGTAAAGATATAATGAGACTTAAAAAAAAAAATCCAGGAACCCTGCGCCTGTGTATAAATTACCTTATGCACAGTATTATGCGCGTTGCGGTGACATAAATAAAATTAATTTAGAGAAAACATCAGATTTCCCGTTATTTTCAGAAATATATAACTATATATGCATAGCGTAGATTCTGTACATTAACGGTCACAACTAATAATTACTATTTATGAGACATCAAGGTTGTTGAAAGACTTTAAAGGTCCCCAAAATTATGTAATGTGTAACGACCAATTGAAAATTCGTCCTTTTATTCACTTGTTTGTTTACAGATTCGGTTCTCAATAAATACATGCGTGTTATCATACATCGAAATAATACATTTTTTAACAATGGCAAGGTTATATGTAGGCCAATCGAAAACAACAAACGCAATATTTACGATTAAAAACAAAAGAAAATTAAATTGAAAACTCATTCGATGCATTTAAATCAATAGCTACGATATATATATATATATATATATCATCACATAAGAACTTAATAGCGCAACATGTACTCCCATGTTCCAAATTTGATATATTAATATACACATTTTAAAATGAATTGCAATACGGCATCCACTATGGTCAAATTACAAGCAAAACTGATATATAATTAGGGCCGGGATTTTGATGCACTTGGCATTTTTTTCTGAAGCTTTCTGTACGATGCTCGTTTTGTTACAAATATGTTTTAGCTATTTTTAAATTAGAATATGAAATTTTATTTTGCATTTTTTTGCATTTTATGACAATTTTTTATTTTAAGATCATTTTTCCCATTTTTTAGGGCATTTTAGAGATTTTTAATTTATTTTTGGTGCTTTTGAATTTAAAATTATAGATTATAAATTTTTCTACCGACGAATTAGTGTTGTGTAAGGTATGCGATGTAAAAGTTGCTGTTGAAATACGTTTTACCATACAACAACATATATCAAGAGAAAAACATATTAATGGAGTACAACAAAGAAAAAAAAATTGAAGAACAAGAGAAAAATATGTACATCTACAAAAACTTATTGGAGAACATCAGGAGATACGCTCTCGTGACTTATTGCAACAACAAAGAATTATTTTTTTATTTTTTAATATATGAAGTAAAATAAAATATTTATGTACATGTAATATAATTTTTTTTAAATTTTAAAGGTATTTTTGAATACATTTTTTAAATTTTTTGAGTCATTTTTGCATTTTTTTAGGGTCATTTTTCGCGATTTTTAAGGACACTAAAGACCCAGCCCTAATAATGACCATATATTTACTTGATTATTTATACAACGCATGCCCACTTCCTACATGTTAGACATACCGAAAAAAGGAGCTGAAGTCAAAATATTATATAAATTTTTTTGACATATCTACAAGTATTAGTATACCCACAAATTATTTTTTGATCAAGATCACCTACAAAATAAACTGACTGGCATCTAATACATTAATGTATGAAATATCGGAAAAGAGAACAAAGCTAACGGGTATGTAGGTATGTATCACCTGAAATTGTCCCTAGGGTAGTGTCGGTAAACTACCATAAAAATAATGTCAAACCTACGTTCGAAATTCGTGTAAAACAATGATAATTTATTATTTCTTAAACGGTACAATACGCAACCGGTTTGCCCTCAGTATCTGACGAGGCTTAACATAATATTGTAATAGATTACCACCACTACTTAATGTTGAACCATATTAATAACAAATAAAATTACTCAATTCCAGACATACAAGTAGGGTGCACGATATATACACAATCGAATATTCGTATGATATATTATACCATGTCCTACTAACCATTCGTCAATCCATCAAGTTCCAGGACATTATTTATTGATACGTTAAGTTAATGGAAAATATATTTTAAAAATCACTTGTGCCTGTTGGGTTATACAGCAATGATATATACTATAACATTTAAGTTTTCTATTTTATAATATACTAAATTTAAAAATTAACCGTATTCTTACAACATTACATTTAGCGTTTGTTAATAATCAAAAACGCAACTTGTTATAAGGTGTTCGGTCCTCTTGTCCTTGACATTAAATACGTAGACAAATACACAAACGACTTGGACTTGCAACGATAATTTGTTGCCATGAAAACGTACAAATATAGAGCTTCAATCCAATGTATAATAAATATTCTGTACTACTTACACTTTGCTCGAGTATGTTTTCTTCACGACGTAATAATACGAGCTTAAACTATAAAATTTATACATATGACGAGCATATTTACTTTCTAATTAATTCATCACTTTTAAAGTGCATTAAGTAGTTGGGACAATGCCGAGTTATGTCACCAACACTCTTTAGAGCTTTGAGCAAAGCAAGACCTACAGTTTTTAATTCATGATTTTCCAATAATGAGAACTGATTATACCTAAATTACGTACATATTTTTAATTATTCAAAAAATATGTTTAATCAAATAAAATTCAAGTATGTTAAAATACATGAATAACCTTAAATATAATTTCACAAAATTTAAAAAATGTGAACATTTTGTATACTCTAAAAATCTATTTTATAATAGGAAATAATTGATTTTATTTTTATTTTGTATTAAATTAAGAAACGAAACTATAATAGTTCTAGATTCGAAATATTATATTATATTAAACATTAGTTGACCAATGACTTATGGGTCATAATGTAAAATATATTTCTGTTACTCAATTTTATTTCATATTAACGTTTAAAAAAAAACAAACATAAACATTCAAGAGATATAAAATCAAATACTAATTAATACCATTTTCAATCTCATTTGACATGCGTAGAATTTTTCATGGACTATTTTTACAAATGTTATTAGTAATGAAAAATTAGAGCAGCGTTTCTTAAACTTTTTATCCATAGAAACCTTTTTGATGTCCACATTTATCGTGGAACCTCTAATTTTTTTTTAAGCTTTTTAGCTTTTTTTAGGATTTTAAATAAATTATAATCATATAATAATATTGTTTTTAAAGGTATTTAAATTAAAAAATATGTTAAAATTAAAACTAAAATAATAATAATTGTATACATATATAATTATACTTTAATTAGACTAAATATAAATTTAGACTATTTTATATGGCTTGTACATTGTTATTTAATATAAAAAGATTTTTTTCCATAATGCAAATATTTTTTCACCATTACTAATCTTTAGTTGGACATTTTAAAGTTATTTTCATAAAAATATTTAAAAAATTACTTGAGCTTCGCGGAACCCTGAAGTGATCTTTGAGAAACACAGTTTAAGAAACGATGTATTAGAGATTAATAACCCATGTATAGTACTTTATTATAATACGTAAAAAATGTCAATAAAAATAATAACGTATTGATAAATTCAATAATAAGAAACCCAATACGTGATTTCATAAATCATTACATCCAACAACTATAAAAATTAATTACAAAAATAATAATAATGAGTAAGTATCCATAATATTTAATATCATAATTGATACAAAAAATATATTTATTAATTTTTTTGTGAACGGTATAAAGAATAAAATATTTAAGTCTATTACAAAAAAATTAATTTAGGTACTTCATTAAAATACACAAATCTTTTATTCAGTTTTCGTTAAATCCGTGTTTAATAACTAAATAATTTTATTTTATATTTTAATATTTTGTACATTAATTAATGAGAGTGACTCGAATTTAGTAATTTGTTTTAACTACAGTGAACTTTTTTTTGTATTGGCAATCAAGAATAATGAAAAAAAGAATAATAAACTGTCATACATTTTAATCCCTATTAGTACACATTATTAAAATATAATAATATAAAAGTAAATATTTCTTCAGGTAATATTTGTGTTATTTAACCAAGGCCAACAAATATTTAAAAAACATGAACACATAATATATAATAAAAACCTTACATATATAGATGTACATACATATAAGTATATTGCACTGTCGTATTGTTGTATTTAATAGATCTTAAATTTATATCGGTTAAAATATGGACACTGAAAATCATGTTTAAATACTTCATATTATGTTTATCTTAAATATATAAATCACAAAATGTAATAATAATATATTATGAATACATTATGAAGTTTAAAAAAATGATCTTCAGTAGGTAGGTACCTATATTTTCATCAATATAGTTAAATTCAAAATCTAATTGAACAATAAGCTACAACAGTACCGGCGCCAAGAGTAAGCCATATAAGGTGATAACTCTACTTAAAATTTTCTGAACCTACCACTAAACATTAATCCGACCTTAAGCATAATAATGTAGTCAGTAATATATATAAAGGAGGGGACAAGTGGGTATTCTTGTCCTGATGCTGTTAGTATAAAGGGCTTTTAAATTTATGAAAAATTAAAAATTCGTGAACATACCCCGTAATTTCCACCTACGTAAAAGTGCTATATTTTTACTAGCCCCGGGCGTCAAATTTCCAAGAATCGACACTGAATATAGTCATTTTTTAACAAACAGAAAAAAATTGTAATGGTTCACCGAAAAAACACGAATATATATATATATATATATTCGTGTTTATATATATATATATATATATATTAAGAACCATACAGATTTTAGATAGTGTAAAATTATATAAAAAACTACCCACAACCATAATCATGTAGGTATCATATAATATTATTTGTATTTACAGTCAATAAATATAATATTATTGTTGCAAGGCCTGACCACATAATTTCCGACCTCTCATTGGCCCTAACTAGTAAAATTTTTAAGTCTAACTTTCTTTTCTGTCACAACAAAACGTATCGAAACAGTGCACATTAACGTTATATTTTACCACTTTGGAATAAAGTGACAGCTTGATGATAATGTCTCGCAGCACTTCATGGTTATTAGACAGTTTTCATTAGGTAATTACATTAAAGTATCTTACCGGATTGCCGACGGTTCTGTCTGACGAACCCTGGCTGCGTGCTGCGGTCTTCGCCCAGAAGGAACGAGTTTGGTTCCGGTTCCTCGGACCAATTTTCTGCGCTGTTAGCCATGGTAAGATCTGAAATTGACTACGTAGGACGACGATGTAGTACAATAACGGTCTTCGATTCCATCGACAAGCGACGAGTGCGGAAAAACGAGAGATGGCTAGAAAAAAAAAATCATAAAATCACCTAGTGGGTTACGACTAGATGGCCCACCCCTGCACCTCAAACGTTCGCGCGCAATAGCTCGCAAGGATTGGCCGGCCGGTTGAGATATGATGCGAAAACGTAAACTGGAAATTTAGGAGCAGGTTCGCGCATATTATTGCACTGCGGTTACGCAGAGGTGTACATTTTATTAAGCGTGCGCGCAGTAGGCATCATATGTACCGGACATCAGGCAAACGCGACGCCTCGACCCTGCCGGCGCTTTTAAACATGAACATGTATGTTTATTCATTGTAAGTACAACTGTTTTGCGACAATATCATACACGAACCGATACACCTCTGTACAACAGCAGCTGGATAAGCGATCGGACAAAGTAGAATTTCGAACGGGAAAGAAAAAAACGCGCATAATTAATGTATTAAATATATTATTACGATTGCACTACACCGTATTATCGAGCCGTTATACCGGCACAGTGCGTACCGGTACGCCGTACGCGAAACAACGTAGTCCTACCTACCTTACACCTGACGTCGAGGGTAGGAGTGACGAACGCGCGCGATACGTGTAAACGCCAGTTAGGCCATACGTAAATCATTTTTTTTTTAGTTCAAGGAACGTTCTCCGCGTGTGCCAGCCGCCACCACGCGCGACGGAAATCAAGGACTCAAAATCGTGTGCGTACATACGTGTGTAGAAAAAAACGCCGTGCTAAACCGATATTATATTACATTACTAGGCTTTATCATTATTATTCCTAGCATCGCCGATTGTAAACGCGCGTGTTTTGACCGTACACTGCTGGACAATTCAACGGAATAGTATCGTTGTCGTTATGCCAGTGTATTATACGGACAAGTAGTCATGCGCGCGCGTTACGAATCATGGGTTACGGTGATAAATACAGCAGGCACGAAAGCAGGGGAGGGATTTAGGGGTTCAAACCCCACCACGAAGCATCAGAATAAATTTTATAAAAAATTGACCAGACATACAAAAGTTTGCCGTGGTACTTGCAAATAAAATGTATATATATATATATTATATAATGAGTTATAAAGCATGCTGTTTATCAACATTTTACATTTATTATACTTTCAACCCTATTTGAAATTTTTTCCAGCGTTCACCCCTTCTATATAGTGATGTACAATACTAATAGTGATTAGAGCTCGAGTCTACAGATATTTTCTAGCCGTTATTGAATAAGTGCTGATAAAAATAGTTAAGTAAAACTCTAAAATTCATATTTATTATATATTTTTAGAATATTTTTCTAGTTTTGATTTGTGTTTTTTTCTGCTTATGTGCATTAAATTTTATTTATTTTGTAGTATTCATAAAACTCGTAATTAATAAAATTATAGAAAAAAACATGATTAGAATATAAAAATATCCTTGTATTTCCATTTCGTTTTCTATAAATGTATTAATAAATAATAAATAATTATTTAGTAAATATACATTTTTTTAAATTGTTTACAGAAAAAAATCATTTTAATTTAATTTTTATTTTGCTATTTTTCATGTTTTTTAGGAAATATTAAAGAGCTTTTTTTAATATATTTTATTTTACATCATAAAAATGCGCATATTTCATTACATTTTAATCCGAGGTCCCGTTAGTAATAATCAATGGACGAAGCTCATCGTTTTCGAGATTTTTGGGGTTCCGACGCGGCGGGGACCTATACATGTCGTTGTACAATATACGGGTATAATCGGCAGCGCTCGGATGCGACAGTGATTAGTAGTCTAATAGGCGAACGGGATTTCAATCATCCGACAAGCGCATGGAGCACGTATGTACTGCAAAACCCATGTTATACATAATATACATAATAGTACGAGTGATATGCATGTGTATATAAGTTCCGTGTACGTGTTTGTACACACGAATTTCTAAATATACGCCATATATGTGTCAAATATCGACAGGAAAAACCGGAAAATTGCACAGGGCACTTATTTCTTATATTTGTCGAGTACATTTAAAAGAAAGAAAAATATGGTAATTTGGATATTTGTGATCAAATAGTTGCGGTCCTCCAAAAAACCTTCGTAAAAATGTACCTACCTTTAAGTATGGCAATGTTTATCTTAGTGATACGTGTAGGTACTTACACGTTTTGTATAATAATATTGCTTCGATTCCGTGTCATATTATTGCATTTATTTTTTTTTGGAAGGCCATATTGTCGACGATCAAAATTCAAGGAATCCTAAAGGCTTGCTAAACATTAAGCAATTTATAAATGATCGAAAGCTCGAAATATCTACAAGCGTAATCTACGAACAGTATATGCACAGCTATAGATAGTTTGAGCCCCTGAACATATTTTTGACTCTCAAAAAACACAAGATATTTTTTTTAAATATATACAATAATAAATTATATACAAATAATATTGTTATATGTTACAGTTGGTAGCAAAAGGTCCTAAAAAATAGGTAATACTAGATACATTTATTCAATATTCAAAATAATATTTAGTACATCAGAATAATTTAAAACGTTTGAGTATTGTGACACAGTTTATTTTATTCAATAGTGACACACATGGACGATGATCAAAAAAGTTAGATGTTATATAAATACAAGTTAACCCTCTAAAAATTGCATAAATTATTGCGAATTTCAATTTGCAATGAATATAAATGACTGCTATAATTTTTTATCAGTTTTTTATTATTTTCGATTAAAAAATCAAATTTTATATAGCAATACATGAAAATTATACGCTCTTCATATTGAAAAAAGAGGTACAGTATAATTTTAAACTCGAGGAATTATTTAATGATATTAATGATAGTCTCAGAGATCATAAGGCAATTGCCTTTAACATTGTCAATTACTTCCTTTTTACAAACGACATATAAATTATAAATTATTTATATATATATAGAATATAAAAATATACATTTTTTATGACCATGAAGTACAAAATAGGTTGTACATTAGCAAAAATGCTATCTATACACTGTATGAATATTAAAAAATTAAGATTTGTAAACAATTAAGCTCTAGTTGCACCTTTAATCCTAGTTTTGCAAAGATAATTTTATAATACTCAATTACTCTATTCAACAAAATGTAAGTTAAGTTAGTTGGGGTAAATAATCATAGTTGATTCCTTTTTTAGAAAATCATACTACTCATTTAAAAAAAAATTTAAATTACTATAGCTTACTCGTATTATAAAGTTGGGTTGAAATCACTTTTTTCGTTATAATTTTAAACTAACTTTTATTTTATTTATTTATTTTTTTTTTAGCTTATTATTGTACGTACCTTGAAATATGTATAGGTAAACAACGTAGATAAAAAAAATGTTATTTATATTAAACTTAGTAACTTTAATTTCAATTAATTATGAATATTAATATTTCAACTTGGGAAATATGTTAAATAATTTGTATGACATTGTGGAACACTTTTAATTAAAATGTATTAAATTTATTAAACTACTATGGAATTGCATAGGTAACTGTTGTATTTGAATCATGAGTATATATCAGGTAGATTATAGTTTATACTGCATGTACAAACACAGAGCTAAATACATATGGCACACAACACTTTAGTACTATTATGTTTCAACTAGGTGTTCAATAACGTATAATTTCAATAATTTATAACAAGTTTCTTACTGAAAAACAGTAAACCTACAACTAAAATATTACACAAATCACACTATAAGCTACGAATGGTACTAAACATAGAAGTATAACAACCACAGGGTAACACACATTTCAAAATTCTATAAGCTGTAAAAATTAATAGGTTTTTAATTATAATGTTCATTATGAATTAAAACAATATGTCAGTGTAATAATAAATTATATATTACCTACATTTGTTCGTTCATTACTTAAAAACTCCAACGTCATCCTAATCTAGGGGTACTTCGACATTGTAATACTTTCAAAATTCCTAACGGTATTCTACTTTATAATATTACGAAAATATTTAAAACCACGAATCTAACTATTTTATGGGTGAACGGATTAAACAACACGTTACGTAACTCGTTATACATTTCAGAGTATTGTAATCATCTTATTTGAATATTAAATTATGACCATATACATTGTTACAATATGGTTTATTCGTGGTAAACAGTTGTTTAAATCTTATGGTACACCATAACATGATCTACGAGTTATTGTATTACGTATTTATATAGTTCTAAATGTTACTCACTCTTCTCGCCGACCATAAATTAAAATAATATTTGTCTTCATCATACTTTTTGTGTAATTCATAAAATTATATGATGAAATGTATCCTCTAGTAGAATGGTATTTTAATTTTTTTTTTTTAAAAAAGTCGAAGAAAAAATAAAACGGGAAAAATGGGAAAATGTAACTAACGTGAAAAAATCCCGTCTGTCTTGAATATTGCAATTCATGAACAATATTATTGTACTCCTTTGAGTATTCAGCCCTTATATTAAATACCATGCTAGTTTACAGAATAACAAATCTAGAAAAATACAGGCCAAAAAAGTTTTTTCCCTCTAATTTCAATAAATTTACAATTCCGGGAAAGCACAATAATGATCGTAAAAATTAAACTATAAAACTGATGTTTGTCGTGTTTAATTTTTATTCTTAGATGTATCAAAAGTGAAATGTATAAAATTAGCAAAATATGATAAAACACAAAGATTAGTATATATATATATATAATTATCTAAAGGATAAAATGTATATTCTTCCGCGGATAACCTACCCTCCGTCGTTTTTATCGGATGTCTGCAGACAAGACCGTTTCAATTTTGGTTGCGACCGAATCTAACCCGCACCAACAGGCAACGCAGTATATAACTGGGTTAGCTCGAAGTTGGGGTATCAGGTACCTACTCAAATCCGGAACCTCATAGATTTCAGAAAATTCGAGTCATCCAAAATGTTCTGTGCTGAATAGAACATGTCAGAGACTGGAAAAGCGTTCGACGAATCAACAATTTCAAGTAAAGAAAAAAAAAAGATCAAGCTGACCGAGTCCTACGTGACGCGACTAAAACGAGTACCACTTTCCGTTCAGATTATAAGTCGTGAAAAACTTACTGGGCGCGCGGACACAACAGACGAACCGTAATATAACGGTTGTGAAATCTCGGAGTTCTTGGGCCGGAATACAAAAGGATTAATCGTTACAGTACCGTAAATCGTACGCGGACAAATTCGAGACGGTTTCACGTGCGCAGCACTCGGGGCGAGACGGATGCACGAATTAACGTGTATTCATTATAGATTAACAATCACAGCGGACCGGCGGCACGCGGAATTACGCGCGACACAATAGCAGCACGAACGCGTGCTGCACGTAACGTAACAGAAACCAGACTTCGGCGGATGCACCGGTTTTTGTGATGCCGCGCGGCTCGACGCAGCGAAAAGAGAGAAAAACGTATTCGCGCGCGCGCGCGCTCGCTCCTATAAATAAAATTATATTACGTTTAATAATAATATATAATGCACCTGGGTAGTGGGTAATACATACATACTATATATATATATATATATATACGTATAACGTAATAATAATAATAATAATAATAATAATAATAAATATATACAGGGTGTCTCGCACGAGAGCTTATTGATTACGACTGCTTTATAGTTTTATATTATTATGCATCATTTTATCTTTGCATATAGTAGGTAGAACTTAACAACAAAATACGAATCATAGAACTCGAATTATAACCTTAGATTTTGTAATATTCAGTTCTGTATATATATATATATATATATATATAATTAATACATGCAATCTGTTATATAATCGTTTGTATTAAAATATTTAGTATAATATATACATTACATTTGTTCTTATACATAACAATGATTTAAAAATGAATTTTGATAGAAATAATAAAATTGTTATTTAAAAATTAATTTTTTATTTACAATTTTTATTCATTCGTTGTAATATTTTCCTGGGCTATACTCTTTTTAGCTATTTTTTTTTTTAAATTCAAAAGATTTTAAGACATTAAAATAATGATAAATTAAACGATTGAGTTACATTAGTTCTAATTTCCTTAAATATAATGTTTCATCGATCATAAATTTACAATTTCGATTTTTTTCATACGTGAAAATAATAAAATTAAAATCAAAATTTAATTATCTTTATCATCTCTTCAATATATCACAATTAATAGTGTGAGTAACACACACATCCTGTATATATGTTTATATGTGTGTGTGTGTGTGTGTGTGTGTGTAACTTGCTGCTGCAGATTCCACCACCAAGCGCTGACGTCTCGCCGGTCAACGGACAACGGACAACAGTACACAACGTTGTTTTTAAGGAGAAAACGTGCGCCAAGACGAAGCGTATTCGAGCAACGATGACGATGATGACCGGTTTTCCGCGTCGCCGCCACCACGATTTGCTACGAATATTTTATTATTATTACTATTTTTTTGATTATTTTATTTTTTTTTTTTTTATTATAAATATACATATACACATATGAATATTTTTATATTATAATTTATAAATAATACATTGTTAATAAGTACATTTCATGTGACGTGCATGTACTCTAATGGTGAGATGGATTTTTTTTAAATAAAAGACACCTCATATCATGGCCGTGAACTTAGCGGCTACTAATCGTCACACGATTTAACGATATTCAAAAATTGTACGTTAACCTCATAATATTACTATCAACGATCAAACATGTAGAGAATACTTATAATATATACTTTGAATACGTATTGGAATGTTTCCTTCTGGAATATATTCAAATACATGTATACACATATGAATACATTACATTGAGTCTCAAAAATTACTCCCTTTTTTGATATTTAATTTTGGTATAAATCTCTCTATAAAACGTCAAAATGTCCCCTATCAAGCTACTAATAACATCTAATACAAATTGTGTCAAACTCGGACAGCAATAATATAGTATTTAACTTAAAAAGTATGTCTATAAACCATTCAATTATTCTTTCGAAATTAGTGTTTTATATTTCCAAGTATCAACGCGAAAAAGAAAGAGTACTCAAAGTATAAATATTTCAGAAGACAAAAATTATAAAAAAAAATAATAGAAGTTGTTATACAAATACGTATTTATAACATATTTGATTTATTAACTAGTAATTACATAATATTTAAAAACACACGTGTGACGTACTACGTTAGTATTTTATTTCGAAACAAGAAAATCATCCAAATATTCAGTGTCACCAGACCGATAACAACTACGTAGAATAAAAAATTATTCGAGCAATACCTACTAAAGAATTTTGACACATGACAATCATAACAAAAAATACGATCTTGTTACGCAATAAATAAATATTCGTGTATTACATGTATAGAAATCGTAAAAAAAATTATAGGTGATTTCTAAGGGCTGCGCTCAATGATTCGGGTCAATTGTTTTACTAAAAAAAAACATTTCAACATTTTTATAAACAAATGGATGATTAGTTTAATTTTGAATCTAGTAAGTGCTTACCGATAAATTTACAGTCGGAAAAATTAGTGTACCAATATGGTACGTAGTAAAAAAAAAAAATAAGAAAACACTTGAGTTAAACAAAGGATTCCTCGATGGAGTTAATAGTAATACTTGAATTATATGTATAATAACAGTTAGGTAGTTAAATACTGTAAAATAATTTTATGAAATAATTTCTTTGAGTAAATAGAAAATATATAATTCGGTCTAGTGCTCTGTGTAAAATTAAATAGTAATTACGAGCATGGAAAAAATAATCTGAAGATACTATAAACGATTATTGACGCGCAGCAATTAATATTCTAGATACCTACTCAGTGTTACAAATTCAATTTGCATATAATCTACAAATATAAAAATAAAATCAATTTCAAGTACGATGCTAAAAACTAATGACACGAAAATGTATCGGATCAGTTCTAAATTCTAGTCAACTATAGGATATAAAATGTAGGCTATTTATAAACCGTATACTTAATCAAAAATAAGTATAATATGTGGGTCTGTGTAGGTTTATCTGTTAAATCGTATTGCATTTTCTAATTGGATTCCAGAAAACATTTAAATCTTCCTTAAAAATATTATGTATATATCACGCATACCTGATTTAAGTCGTGTAAGAAAAAATTCTAAATAAATCATTTTACTGCAGATATAAAATACCTATAAACTCATAAACTAATAATTATAACTTAAATTACATCTATACTAGTATAATACAATATAGCCGTGATTTATAGGTAGGTATACTATAGTTTTCTCAAGTTTCATATTAAATTCGAGTATATATATATATATATATATATATATATATATATATTCTTTTTTTGTACCACACATAAACCATGCTTGAATTGGGGAGGGGAAGCTCAAGAAGATGGCACTCTTTTACCAAAGTTTTTAAATATCAAGCAGATCCCTACTAATTATTATCTTATTATCGTTGAATTAGAAAGTAAGAGAGGATACATCATTTTTTGAAAAATTTTTTAATCATAAACATATGAATGCAATTATTGGTATGTATTAAAACACGTGGTTTTTTTATCTATTTTTTTGATCAATGCTATAATTTATTATAGTTAAATTAAATTTTCTTAATTTGAATGTATAAATAGAAAACAAAGGCAAATTATAATGACAGAGTTGTTATGGATACAAAAAACTCTGCAATACGGTCAACACCATTTTTGTTTTATATACCTTATTTGTTATAATATAAAATTATCGAATCAAGTATTCGATTCTTTATATTCCTTGTAAATAAAATGCAGTTTGCAAATATCGATATAGAACGACTTGAATTAAAAATTGAATAAATATAATAAAACAAATACCTAATGAGTAATTACAATAATTAGCTGAACTACCCGTCAATACCAGGTTACGGTAAAAAAAATAAAATTGTTAAATAATTAAATAAATAAATAATAAATATAAATTATGTATATGTTATATATACATATATATATTATATATGGGTAACGTTCGAAAATTGGTAGCTTACACATTACCCGGGTAAAGTACACCATAATCATATGAATAGTATAATGTATACATTATCCAGTGTGCTATGGATAAAGTATGAAGTAGAAAAAAAAATCAAATCATATCACGGAGTTGCCCAATTACGGCCCGAGTTCAGATAGTCGTTTTTTATCCCAAATATAAGTATCCCGATTATGTCCAAACACATGTTGGTTCAAAAAATAGCTTATAATTAGTAAAATTAAATATTTTGAAAATATTTAAATGCTGTGTAGGAAAATTTTGTTCAGTTTTACCAAATAATAAATTATTTCAGAAAAAGGTACGAAAACTATTTTATATTAATAATTACAAAATTAATTTTGCGAACCGACTTTTATAAAATAAAATTATAATTAAAAAAGTAATTCAAAAGATTTTAAATACATGAAAAGTATATTTTGTATTTTTAAGATTGTAAATAATATATACATATACAAACAAATAGTCAAATAATAAATTGTTTACAATAAAAAAATGATATGAAATACAAATCATATGTCGGTAAATAATTAATAAATAGAATATTAAAATAATAAATTTAAAAAGATTGGGGTGGATTTTTAAAACTCAAAATTAAATTTTCAAAATAAAAATTAAATATTTCAAAGTTTTTTAATTTTGTAATTTGAATTTGTATAATTTTTTTTTTTAATTGTTATTTGTTTTCCGAGGAGTACAAACTATGGATTTAATTTTTATTTTAGCATCTGTTTGGCATTGTTTCAAAATTTCCAAAAATTGAAATATACTTGGATGTGACGTGATAATAGTGATAATAGTGATAATAGTTGAAAATAAAGAATTGAATTTCGAATGGAAACTATCACATGCATTCGTTGTCAAACACATACTGGAACTACAAGTAGTCCATATTTTAGATGGAAAATCAGAATCATCATTAATATAAATGTTTACCAAATTATCACAAAATGTTTGTATTTTAGCCGTTGAAGGTTGTATAGAAACTAAATCTATGACACAACATTCACCTACCATTTCAGGTTCTAAAAATAGTAATCCAAATATATATGTTAAAAACTTTCCTATATCACTATCATTGTCTTTATGTCTGTACTTAACCCTAAAGATTGTATTTTTTGAAAGGTTCATTATGATTTATTTGTTTTTTCACGTTTTTTTTTTTTTTAGATATGTTGTAATATTTTGATTCCGGTAAATTTAACAAATTCTCATTTTTTTCATTAATTAATTTATTAAAACTATCATTAAATTTCTCTTTTTAAGAAGACAAGTTTTTTTAAAAAAAACTAAATTATCAAACATTAATAAACCGAACAAGTGAACTCGAAAATTTATAGCATCGTACTGGAATTTAAAATCA